AAAAGTTTCAACTTTAGCTAAGCAGGGATATGAAATCGTCAAGGATGAATTAAGCTCTAGCTCTAGCAGAAAGAAAAAATATCAAGCTAGGCATGCTTCTGCTAAAGTAGAAAAGAGTACAAGAACCGATTTAGTTCTTACGCCAACAAAAAGGACAGTATTGGGTGAAAAATGGGAAGCATTTAAGAATAAGGTATCTTTGAGGAGATTGTTCAACTTTGTGCCTATCTTTCTCATATTGGTTTCCTATCTGAAATCCTTTTTCTCTCTCTAAGATCCGAGGTCATCCCGTCTATAAAAGAGTGGATGAATACACCAAGCCTGTTGTAACCAAGGGACAAGAGGTACCATCACAATGCTGTACAAATGTATTTGGTCAAACCTAGTTTTCTCTTGCAGTGATATCCATGTTTTGTGTATGCAAATGCAGGTAGCTGAAGATGTCAGGGAAAGATGGGAGACAAGTGACAATCCAGTGGTTGAGAAAATTCAAGAGTACTATGTGCCCCATCATTCTTTGTTTTATCTGGTTATGGAATTTGATTGATTCAATCTGAACTATGCTATACTATTGATTTCTGTTGGCATTTAGCACATTACATTTAGGTCTTGAAAGCACCAAGTAATGCAACTGACTGGTGCATTCATGACTGCAAATCCATTGGTGATTGCACTTCATTAGTACCACAAATAGGGATAAAAAGTAATCAATGCAATAATCTCTTTCTTGAATGTATGAATCAGTTGTATCCCCCCTCTATTTCATCATATGCAATATTTTTTGTTTCTGACGCGTCGCTGATTTTTCTTTGTTCATTCCTTCTAGCTTGAATGAATCTTTGCTTGAAGAAACCTCAGCTGCGGTGACATTCAGGGAAATTCGGCAACGAGACCCGTAAGGCGTGTGCAACTTAACTTTGAGAGACTCAGGACGTAATTGAATTATATATCACCTTTTTTTGCACAGGTCCTTTTCTCTGTCTGATTTTGTTGCCGATGTCCAAGAAACGATCAAGCCAGTTCTAACTGCATATTCAAAGGTAACCCATGTCTTATACTAACAAGAAATTCTTTCCTTGTTTGAACTAGTGTGATTGCTGACTGCCCTAATGAGATGGGCTGGTTCTATATTACTTTTTTATATATTTTTTGGTGAAAGATTAAATTTGTTGCGCTTATTATGACACTGGGGAGTTCCAGATAAGTTTATAATGTGAAGTTCAAAGAGATTGATTGAGATTCTGTCTAATTTACATGATAAATCAGCCCACTCATATACACTTTCAGAATTTTGGTCATTTCACAGTTACATATTATGCTTTCAGGGTGATGTGGAGACTCTAAAAAAATATTGCACCAAGGAAGTGATTGAGCGCTGCAAAGGAGAGAGAGAAGCTTATGCATCACAGGGAATATTTTTTGATCACAAAGTAGGTCATGGTTCAATGATGTCTTGGACAGTCCATTTCCATAGCTTATTTGAATCTAGTTGAAATTCAAACTCAGTCACAATTGATTGCTATGTTCTGTTGTTTTTTTCTTCATTATTGACTGTAGCTTGTTGCTCTTAAGGTGGGAAGAACATAAGATCCTGCTGCCTTTTTTTTAAAAAAAAAAAAAGAGACCAAGAAATTTTCTTATATTCCATTGCCTTTACAGATCCTGCACATTTCAGAAGCTGATGTATTGGAAACAAAAACGTTTGGATCTTCACCCATAATTATCTTACGCGTAAGTGAATTAGTGCTTGCTAATTTAAGTTTGCCTTTTTTTTAGTTTAATCTACTCACAGTGTATGCTTGTTTCCAATATATATTTCAGTTCCAAACACAGCAGATATACTGTGTTCGAGATCGAGAAGGACAAGTCACAGAAGGAGGACAGGTAGGCTTTATTTTTTGGGATATTGTAAACCAAAACTTTCCTATCTTTATGTTTGGCGTGTATGGTCGACTCATTACAAGATAGCTCAATCATGATCTCGGTGACAGATTTTGTTTCATAACATGATCCCTCTCATCCTGACATGATACTTGAGACAATATACCCAGATGAATGAATTTATGCGTTATTTTGCAACTTGTGTAGAACCAAGCAGTTTCATGAACACTCCACTTGAGTCTGGGCAAATAATGTTTAGGTAGAATTTTCAAGGTGAAATGTTTCCTTGGTGGTTTTGAAAAGGGCAGTTGTCTTTGAACCTGAGTGGGGTGCTGCAGAATTTAGTCTTGTGTTGGTAAAGTTTACTATATCATAGCTAATGCCATTGTTAGATGTGAGGTTGGTTTATATGAATAGCACAAGCTGATATCCATGATATATATTAGTGTCAAAGGTGCACCAGACTTCATGCACCTCTTAAATAGTTGAGTTTATAGAGTGTTGAGGAATGGTGGCATGCTCATATTGTCTTGCCTCAGTTGGCCGGTAGACTTGTAGTCGACATTTGATTTAAGTAACAGTTCTTTTTTGTGTGATTGGAATGTGCCAGGATACCATCCAAACCGTCTTCTATTCGTGGGCTATGCAACTCATGGACAGTGACGAGGTGCCAGAAGAAGAATCCTATTACCCAGTCTGGCGGCTGCGTGAGATGCAACAAGCTGGCATCAAAGCTCTCATATAGAGCAGTTCATCATTTTGTTCTTACTCTTCCTTCACTGGATCAGCTGCTGTCAATGAGCAATGTGCAAGAACGTTGCCCTCGGTGCAAGCAATTTTCCACAGATTGATTGTTTTTTATATATATATGTCCTGATGGTAGCAGTTTCTTCCTATTCTTTTTTGCTGATGTATCTAACGCATGAATTAGCTGTTATTCTCTATGTTGGCTGAGAAAGGCTTGTAACCAGCGTATACTGATAGTAACTTCGTTTTTGTCCCAAGTGGGAATGAAACACACACGCTGGTGTGTTGTTGTCACGGCTGCCAGAGGCTCTGGGCATGGCCGATATGTGACTGAATTGTGATGCACAAGAGGGACGTTCTGAGCCGATGTGCTTGAAAACGCTTCACAATTTGCATTCGCAGATCTGAAATGATTTTTCATCCCAGAGCTGTCTCAATTTGTGAGCCGAAAGTAGCCTATTGAAAGGTTTTCAGCTTCGTCACCTCGCCTGCTTTGAACATTAATTGCCGTCCCTTTTGAGCAGGCAAGGCGTACAAAACTTGTAGCCTCACTCAAACACAAGTGTCAAATAAGATATAATTTGAAAGGTTTGGAATCATTTAACTTCGAGCACGAAAACGATATGAGTGAATAATGGAACGTGCTCGACAACAGTCACTTGTTTCAAAGAAACAGTACAGAATGAATGAAACCGCCTAAAATAAATGTTAGTGACAAGGGATCTAATATAAAATATTTTAAAAAAGTAACATGTCACATGTATGTATATGTTTGCCTAAACAATATAAGAACAAGAGTAGCTTAAAACAGGAAAAAAAAAAAAAAATCCTGTGCGTTGAAATCTATATCTCAATAATTTTCTACATCTGCAAACAATACAATAACAAGAGTAGATTAAGACTGGAAAAAAGACAATATACAAGAACAAGAGTAGCTTAAATCACGAAAAGAAGATTTGATCCTGTGGTTGAAATCTATAACTGGAAGCCTCAACAATTTTCTACAAACAATTACAAGAACAACAGTAGCTTAAAACAGGAGGGGGAAAGGTAAAAAAAAAAATGAACTGCTTAAAACAATTTTCTACAAACAATTGCAAGAACAACAATAGCTTAAAACAGGAAGAAGAAAAACAGGGGAAAAGGTAAAAAAACAATTTTCTACAAACAATTGCAAGAACAACAGTAGCTTAAAACAGGAAGAAGAAAAACAGGGGAAAAGGAAAAAAAGAAGAAAAACAGGGGAAAAGGAAAAAAAAGAAGAAAGGTAAAAAAAACAGGAAGAAGAAAAACAGGGGAAAAGGTTAAAAAAAGGAAAGGTAAAAAAAGAGAACTGTTGAGAGTGGGATTTGAACCCACGCCCTTTCGGACCAGAACCTTAATCTGGCGCCTTAGACCAACTCGGCCATCTCAACTTGGATGTTGATAGGAGATCTTACGACATAATAAATAAAAATATGTAGTCCATATTTGTAAATATGCAGGTGCAGGGCTTCTCCAGCTCCATCACCCAAGGACCAAGGTTACTATGCATCGCCAAGGGAAACAATGAATCATTCATTCACTGTCATCGCTCCAGCTTTCCTCACTGTCAACATCGTTGCTATCTGCGTGAGCCTGCTTCATTTACAAGTGCCAATCAGATTATACTAGGGCCATGTACAGTTACTGGTTGATCACAAGGTCGTCTTGTTATTCTTCAAAAAGAAAAAAAAAATCAGCCCAACTGGTGCTGAATTTTGAAGGAACTTTCTTTATGAGAAGTAATATAATGGATCTAAAAAGCTAGCGCAGGACCTGTGTAATCATGAATACTTGAGATATATACGGATAGATCGATGAGCATTGGTAGGTAGCTAGTTGCTGATCGATCTCGATAGATTAGTGTGTGTGACGTACGTCGGCCGCTAGTAGGTACGTACAGAGCTTAATAATTAGCTATACGTCTTGTTCTTGTGTGGTGCATGCAGAGATGAGAGACGGACCACATACACACACGCGGCGAGCAAGAGGCCAAGAGACTGACGCTCGCTAGCTAGCTGTGTGCTGTGGCATATGGCACGCTCCAGCATCTCCATATATTCTCCATGGATCTAGGTATCCTAGTTGCTCGATCTCTTTGTCGGGAATCCCTAGCTTTTCCAGGGAGATGGACGGACGGACGACGGACGGACGCGCGCGTGCTCCATCGTCCTCACCCTCCTCTCCTCTTCGCTCCCACGCATGCAGAATTGCAGATGCATTGAGCAGGGCACAGCTAGCTAGCTGCTAGTAGTGGATCGGATCGGACATCGGATAGATCGATCAGTAGCTTTTTCCGATCCTTAGTACTAATCTTCCATCGACGACATCGATATGGTAATATGGGAACAATGCACGGCGGCTCTGCTGTCGATGCCTCCGCCGCCCCGCCCTCATCAGCCGCCGTCGACTGTCTACCTGCTGAAAAGAAGATGACCCAGCAGGCCCAGCAGCAGGCTTCCTCCGACGACAACGACAGCAGCAACACCAACACCAACAGCAGGCGCCGGTTGGAGGGGAAGGTTGCCATCGTCACGGGCGGCGCGCGCGGGATCGGTGAGGCGATCGCGCGTCTGTTCGTGGCGCACGGCGAGCGCGTGGTGATCGCGGACGTGGCGGAGGAGGCGGCGGGGCAGGCGGTGGCGTCATGGCTGGGCCCGCCAGAGCGGTGCAGCTAGGAGGTGTGCGACGTGTCGGTGGAGGAGGACGTGGAGCGGGCGGTGCGGCGCGCGGTGGCACGGCACGGGCGTCTGGACGTGCTGTGCAACAACGCCGGGGTGCTGGGCCGGCAGGCGCGTGGGAGCAGCAGTATTCTGGCGCTGGACGCGATGGAGTTCGAGCGGGTGGTGCGCATCAACGCGCTGGGGGCCGCACTGGATGAAGCACGCGGCGAGGGCGATGATCGCTGCGGGAGAGGGCGGCGGGAGCATCGTGTCGGTGGCCAGCGTGGCGGGCGTGATGGGCGGCATGGGACCCCACGCGTACACGGCGTCCAAGCACGTGCTGGTGGGGCTCACCAAGAACGCCGCCTGCGAGCTGGGACGCCACGGCATCCGCGTCAACTGCATCTCGCCGTTCGGTGTGGCTACGCCCATGCTGCTCGACGCATGGCGTGACAAGCTGCATGACAAGGATCACGAGGATGGAGCCGCGGCGGCGGAATCGGGATCGGAATCGGAAGCAGCTGCAGCCGCTGACGAGCAGGAGGTGGTGGAGCGGATGGAGGAGGTGGTCCGCGGGCTGGCCACCCTCAAGCTGCAGGGCGCCACGCTGAGGGCCAGCGACATCGCGGAGGCGGCGCTCTTCCTGGCCAGCGACGACTCCAGGTACGTGTCCGGCCACAACCTTGTCGTCGACGGCGGCGTCACCACCGCCAGGAACCTCATCGGACTGTAATGTAATGTGTAATGTATGTAGTTCATTTTCATTCAATTAATCCCCTGTTGGATTGGTTGGTCGGAAATTCGATCCGTTCCGAAGGATGGCAAACGACTGTACGTATGATGGTATGATCGATGCATGGATGGATTGACCGATCGATCGACCTGCTGCCCAGCCTCCCTCTTTGATTTGTGATTGATTACTAGTATTTCCTTAACTTTCCTGCTTGTTGGTTATTGCATTTGGAAGGCTGATCATCGAATGAAAGTTGCTTGTTTCGAGAATCAGAATCATAGAAACAACAGATAATCATTCGTACTACACGCAACATATTTATGCACGCAATGTCGCTGTCGTCTCGTCAAGCAGAGCAACGATAGGATCGGACAGCTGCCCGCCCGCCATTAGCAGGGCTGTTTGTTTGTTTGTTTCGGTCTGCAGATGGAACCGACAAACAAACAGCGACGATGATGATTAGAAGCAGCTTTCATGCGCCTCGAATTTGTCCTCCCATGATCCGATCCGATCAGATATTCTGCTCAGCTCAATACGAAGCAGACACAACAGTTGAGACACTGTCGTCAGTAGCTACCAACAATGCCACTGCACGAACGAACGTACTACATGGTCTCGATTTAGCCACGCACAAGCACAATATATATATGATAAAAAGAAACGCATGATGCATCACGCGATCCATAGGGATCCCGCTGAAAACTCGAGGTAGGTACTACTAGCACTAGCACTCTAGCAGATACGTACGGCACGGCACCCCAAACTTAAAGCTTTATATTGTTGTTAAAAAAGAAAAAGCTTTATTATTATTTGGATTTGGATACATAAATTCAATGGGATAAGTCTGTTGTTCGTATTTTGTACTCCTTCCATCCCTTTTTAGCTGTCGTTCTCATTTCTTGGAGTAGTCAAACATATTAAACGCGGCACCAGCTATGGCTGTTGAACGCCCTTCGTCGCCCATATAGATGGCCAATCGGCCGCCTAGCTTAGCACGACACGAGGTCAGCAAAAGCATGGCCCGCTGTGGCGGCGCTAGGCATGGCACGCTGAGCCGCTAGGTCGTGCCGATCAGGGCCACGGGCCTGGCCAATGGCCCAAACACGGCACATCGGACCATTTTTCGGTCGGGCCTGGCCGGGCCGAGAAGCATGACACCATCGGTAGGCCAGCCCAGCCCGAAGCCTGTGACTAAGGACGCTAGCAGCCGGCGGCGGGGAGGTCGGGAGGTGGTAGGGGGATTGGCAACCGAGCGAGGTCAGGGGACGACCGGAGGAGGTAGCTCCGAGCGTTCGACGGAGGGAACGGGACCTCGTTCGGATGAGGAAGCCACCGGCGGGGAGGCCGGGAGGGCTCAGCAGTGCCCCTTTTTGAGGAAGTCTCGGGAGAGGAGGCGGCTCACAGGAGCCGGGTGAAGGAAGCGGGACTGCCTCCTGCGGTCCCTCCGAGGAAGCCACCGGCATGGAGGCTGGGAGGGAAGAGCGGCTTCCCGAAGTCACTAGTGTGGAGACCAAGAGAGGCCTCCCCGGGAGGGGAGAGGCGCCCAGAAGCAACCAAGGTCCTAGAGGGGGAGCGACGCCACTCAATACGAAAGATGCGGGACTTGCGGCGACGACGGGGAGACCGGCAAAGGGGAGAGGCCTCCCCTGGAGGGGAGAACGGCGCCCAGAAGAAGCCGGGGGTCCTAGAGGGAGAGCGACGCCACTCGATACAGAAGGACTTGGGGTGGCTGTGAAGTTGGAATAGGAAGTGAGGATGAAAAATTAGGATTAGAATATACTCCATTTATATTGATTAACGGGCCGTCCTGTGCCGCATGTCATGCCTAGGAAGAGACCTAGACACGGCCGTATGTTCCGAAAACAACTCGGAGAAACATTATGGCGAGATGCGGAGATTGGAGAATATTTAGAAGAATATTAAAGCGAGACTTAGCTTTAGACAGAACGTCTGGTCAGAGGCGTATGACGTTATCTGGTCGGCGTTGACGAAATTGCCCGGCCCTCGAGCTTTCCAAACTATCATCATGGCGGCGGTCGCAGTCGTCATGGCACAGTTCTATGTGGCGATCATCGTTACGGCACGGTAGGTGGTCGGAGTAAATAGTCCGGACAACGTCGTCCTTATATTAGTGGTCGGCGACTCAGGCGGCTCTCTTTTGGTCTTGTGTTGAATATGTAGATGAGCAGCAGCCGATCTGATGCAGCTATGCACAAACGCCTTGGCCTCGCTTGCTTGCTATTGGCTTGGAATCACGTATGTGTAATCTCCATCGGCTTGCTTGCCTCTTTGCTAGCTTGTTGTCGTAGCACATGTACACGATCCTACATGGTGCCGATGTCAGTACTCGGTCTGACAACACAGCAGTCAGCAGCCTTTGTAGATTGATTTTCTCTTGCTCCAAAACGAACTCAAAGAAGGAAACCGACTCCGCTTCGAGGCAGCAGCAACGATCGAGCGGCAGCGTCCGCAACTCGGCGATAATTATTCCGTCTAGGTGCGTGAGTCAGACCACGCTGAACTGATCGATTCCCACGTGCGCAATCAGGCGATGAATTCGTCGACCACCAGTCAAGCACCGACTTGTAGATGGATTTGATGACGGCTGCCGCGCACGATGTTGAACGCCGTCGCCGATTCGTCGTAGATGTTGTTGAAGGAGGCCGTCGCAGCAAGATGAGTTGCCGCAAATGATGTTGGTCTTAGGTACGCCATCTGGTTCGCCATGGATCAACACGCACACCCCCTATCTGGCGTGCCAACCGTCGATAAAAGATGCTCGGCAGTCCACCGATGGGTATCCCACAATGATAGATTTGTCGGGGATGGTGACACAAGGCGCAGAGACAGCGATTTAGACAGGTTCGGGCCGTCTGATCGACGTAATACCCTACGTCATGTGTCTTTGGTGTATTGTACTGCATATGGGATGTATGTAGATGTCGACTAAGGGGACCCCTGCCTCTCCTTATATACTCTGGAGGGGTAGGATTACAAGGAAAGTATCCTATTTGGTACTATACAATATCTTGCGGTGCACGTCGACCAATGCCATGCACGCCTTGATCTTGTGGGCTGGGCCACCTCTGAGGGTGTGGCCCATGTCTTGTCTTGTGGATACCAGGGGCCATACCCCCACACCCGTTCTCATTACGAGAACATCGATCTAGCGATGATGAGCCAGGGCTTCGCGTTCGTCTACTCCGACGTCGAGCTGGAGGACATCGAGAAGGAGGTGGCCCCTATAGCGCAGGACTTATCTACTAAGATGGAGGATGAGATCACCCCCAAAAAAATAGATAGTTAGATAAGTCAGGTGGCGAACTTGTAATAGGTGGACAAGTTCTTAACCTTTGTTATGGCCGAACAGGCTTTTGGCTCTTCTCTCTTTTTTATGTATAAGAAGGTTAGTATGTTCTGACCCTTTCCATTGTTAAGACTATAAAACTCAAGGTGCGGGCAAAAAAACTCTGATCACGCTGGTGAGCAAAAATGCCGTAGCCGCTGGGGCGTATGTTTCTTGCAGTCCGACCAGTTTTACTCAGCGTTTGTTTTCGCATCCCTTGCTTCTAGATCTTAATGTGCGAAAGGGTCGGGTACAGAGAATGTTTTTACTTAGATATACTCTTATCAGCCCCCGAGTGAGGCCTGATCCCTTGCCATTGCTAGGGTCGGGTGTCACTAAAGATCAGGGAGACGATTGCGAAACCGATAAGAGAAAGTGTTTTTCATTTCAGAAACATCATTCTTAATTTTTATAAATACGCGCATAGATTAGGGGTAAAAACGATGTAGCTCCTCGATGTTCCAGTCATTGACGAAGGCCTCACCGTCGATGGTCTTGAGCTTGTAGGTGCCCGGCTGGAGCACCTCCGCGACGACGTATGGTCCCTCCCACGGTGGAGAGAGCTTATGTCGGCTCTTGTTGCTCTAGATGAGGCAGAGCACCGGTCTCCGACGTTGAAGGCCTGACCCCTCACCCGACGGCTGTGGTACTAGCACAAGGCTTGCTAGTACTTGGCTGAGTGGAGGAGGGCAACATTGTGCGCTTCATCGAGCTGATCCATGGCGTCTTCGAGGGATGCCTCGGCTGCCTGCTCGTCGTACGCCCTAACCCTCGGCGCTCCATAGTTGAGGTCGGTCAGGAGGATAGCCTCGGAACCATAGACCATGAAGAAGGGTGTGTAGCCGGTGGCCCGACTGGGGGTCGTCCTCAGGCTCCAGAGCACCGCAGGGAGCTCTGCGACGCATCGTTTGCCAAACTTGTTCAACCGGTTGAAGATCCAAGGCTTAAGGCCTTATAGGACCATGTCGTTCGCGTGCTCGAGCTGCCCATTCGTGCGGGGGTGCACCACGGCGGTCCAATCCACGCGGATGTGGTATTTTTCACAGAATCGAAGGAACTTTTCCTGGTGAACTACGTGTCGTTGTCCATGAGTGGGACTCCAAAGTGATGGACGATGTCAAGGAAGAACAACAAGACTTGCTCTAACTTGATCACAGAGATCGGTCGAGCCTCTATCCACTTTGTAAACTTGTCTACGGCGACAAGCAAGTATGTATAGCCCTTGGACACTCTCTTGAGAGGTCCAACCATATCGAGCCCCCAGACCGCGAACGACCATATGATGGGGATCGTTTAGAGTGCATGGGCTGACAGGTGGGTCTGCCGAGCGTAGTATTGACACCCTTCACATATGCGCACAATCTGTTTAGCATCGGCTACTGCTGTCGGTCAGTAGAAGCCTTGTCAAAACACATTTTCGACTAGGGTCCTAGGTGCGGCATGGTGCCCGCAGACCCCACCGTGGATATCTCTCAGCAACTGCTTCCCTTGTTCGATGGAGATGCAACGCTATAGGATCCTAGTGTGGCTTTTCTTATAGAGCTCGCGCTCAATAACGATGAAGGACTTAGCACGATGCGCGAGTCGCCGAGCCTCCATTTTGTCCGTCGGTAGCGTCTCACGGAGGAGGTAGTTGAGGTAAGGCGTCCTCCAG